AACTTGATTCTACAAAAGAATTTTGGCAAAAGTTGGGGGACTTATATTTGCTTAAATCTATTCCTAAAAAGTTGTACTTGCTTGAAAGATTTTTTCAGTTTTAAAATGGATCTTTCAAAGAATCTTGATGATAATTTGGATATTTTCAACAAACTTGTTTAATATATCGTTAATTGCGATGAAAAAATAACTGAAATATATAAGGTCATTATTTTTCTTAATTATATGTCTGATTCATATAGAGAGGTTAAGAATGCAATTAAGTATGGTAGAGACACTTTAACATCCGAGATTGTCATAGATTCTCTTAGGAGTTAGAAGATAGATATTAAAGCTGAAAAAGAGAATAAAAGAAGTTGTAAGTTGCATATGATGAGGAGTAAAATGAAGTTTAAGCAGATGAATTTTGGTAGAGCTCAAGACAATAGTGATTCGAGTAGTGAATTGAGTTATGAGAGTTGTAAGAAGAATGGCAAGAGATGGAACAAGTCTAGTGGTAGACGGTGTCACAATTATGGAAAAACAGGGCATTTTATTAAGAATTGTCCCAAGAAGAAGGATAAGGAGAATGACAAGATGAGAGACGAGACGAATGTGGATATAAGGTCGAGTGATGACCCTAAAGAGGTTTATTGATAATAAACCTAATTGCATGTGCATCCGTATGTAATCCTTTCTGCATTAATGTAATTGGTTAATTCTGTTACATGGTTATATGTGCATTTCAATGTATTTGATATGTGCATTTGCATGAATTTAAGAGCAATTCAATTACTAGGTGTAATTATTTGCATGTATAGTGGGTTAAGATGCATTTGTAATGTGTTGTATGTCTATTGGTAAGATGAAATATAGATGCCTGTAGGTACATTGGTGATTTGTATCGGGGATGTGGAGAGTGACATTTGAATCCCATGTGAAGAGACCATGATCAAATGGAGTGTGAGAGACCATGATCAAGTGGATAGAGGATAAAAATCGACCCAACCCAACTCAACTCATGTCCACCCCTACTTCTATTAGGTGTATACCCATTATTCACTTCGATTGGGATAAGTGATGTGGTGATAGAGGATTATTCCAAGAACTGAGGATCTATAGAGATTTATCGGTTAGATATGAATTGAGTGATCAATCTAGTGAGCGTGTTGGGCGATGAGAGTAGATATGTGTTATCGAGGTGTGAACAACACGGAATGTGATAAGATAAGTGTGGTAAGATCTTTTCGTAGGGTCGTTTATGTATTTGTTACATATGTGTTTTAACCGTTTGATTGATTGACTTAGTGTTAATATGCTGTTCTGTATGAACGGAGTTTGGAAAGATCCTATATTATATTTTCATTGCATTATTATTTGATCTTTATTGTTCACTGTGGTTAACTATTTTTACTTGAGTATTTGTTTGTGACCTTAGCCCTGGTGAGTACATGGAGTAGGTATGGTACGTGTTTCGGTCCCGAAACATGAGGTAGGGTCTGTGATCCCAATTTAGTGGTTACGTTAATTATGCAAGTATTAACTATGTGTTTTTGATTGCTTGCAAATTGATTGTGTATTGAATTTGATACCCAATAAATCTCGAGTAATGATGTTAAATTGAAATTATTCGGTTGGTATCGACAAAATGACTGAACTGAAATATTGACACCTCTGTGGAATGACCTAAAACTAGAACAATTTGGGCTATTGGATGTAGCTTGATTTAGTTAGAGGTGTCGTGGCTCATTTCCCCACTTCTTGGGATGTCTTATAAGTGTTGGCCTATATATTGATTTGGACTTGGGCGTTCTCTCTATTCCTAATGTACTACATATATTTGTCGCCCATTTTTGTGATGTTCACGTGTGTGTTATTCCCTTCTTTTAAAAAAAAAAAGAGAGAGAGAAATCGGCTCCTTCTTCTATTGCCTCTTTCATTCGGTTTTCTTCTTCATTTTGTCTTGGTGGCTGTAATAACACCATTACTTTGTGTCCTTTATGGGTGAAACCATAGCAATCAGAGTGTGGGCAAATAATGGTTCTTGGGTCGTTAATTGAAGTGATCAATTTCGGTTAGATTGATAAACCGAGCTCGGATTCTACGAATCAAATATCAATTTTCTCTACAATTTCATATACATATAAACATGAGTCGAGACTTATG